TAGCATTCTAGATAAAATATATATAGAGTATAATATTAAAGTAATTGGCATAAGAAGACCTGCCCCCTTAACCCCCACTTTTGAAAAATTAAATAATTATTTTAGGTACTGTGAATAAAGTTGTTTGTCTAAATTAAGATAACAATCTTACATGTATTTATTTAAATGAAATATTGATGTAAGCCTAAGTTACAAAATTATTTTTAAAAAAATATATGTTATTATAATGAATCGGGAGAAAAATACGCTAATGTAAAATTTACAATTAGGCTGAAACTCAAACTTAGATTAGCAGAAATTTTGCCATATATAACCATACACGTTTAAAACTATGCCAATTTAAGGTTATTTTTGATTAATTTTAAATAGCTGTTATTATAGTTATCTTAGCAGTAGTACAGTTCTCTTAGTTAACATGCAGATAAAGAAATGATTAGAAACAAACAGGCATTTAAAGAAAAAAAAATCCCTGCAAATAAAAAAAGGAACTTTATGCTAAGAGTAGCGCATTTTATCTATTATTTTAAAATTGAGTAAGTACTATTAAATTTTGTAATGTTCAGTGTAAAATGCATACTGCAGTAACATTGTCTCTTCCAAATTATAGCTATCTTTCACACACAGCTCATTTTAAACGCTGATTCTTCAGATTTAAAACGCTAATTTCTATGTTGTCAATTGCATCTCCGCACTCAGTGCCATCATTGCTACGTCATCACTCCTCACTGCCTGTTTCAGGGGGAAACGCTCTATGAGCTAGCCCTTCTCTTTAGTGCTGTGGCAACATTGCAGGAGAATCGCTGACATCTATAAAGAAAATTCATCAAGAGGCAAAAAGGAAGAAAAAACCAGTTTTCTATTGCTCGGAGGGGGCAGGAAGTATTGGATATGATTGGTTTAGATGATTTTAAATACAAGGTAATTAAAAAAAAATTTTCATGAATTTTAAATTAAGGAGGAAAAAATGTTATTGCTTTCAATATTATACTCTGCAGTGCAAGAAAAGATAGATTTTAAATGGAAATCAGGAACTTTAAGAAATGTACTACACAGTATTGGATTCACATGGAGAAAAAGAGAAAAGTTTTAACTAAAAGAAGTGGCACTGTGTTTAGAATATGGTACCTGAGAAAAGTGAAACAATTTCATCATGAAAAAAAGACTTCTATTTACTTGGGCAAAACCTGAGTAGACAGCAACATGGCATTTTCAAAATGCTCTGGGAATTGAAACAATTGTCTACATCTGCTCCCATACCACTGCAAAATTAATGAAGTTAATTTGTTTGGGGTGAAATAAAGCAATTTGTACAGAATTGTAATACAGCTGGAAACATGGCAATGGATAAATTATTAAAAATTGCAAAAGAAGCTCTTGAAATTAAAACAACAGAAAACTGGAAGAAGTATACTGCACCCATGAAGAAAATGACTATTGGATAAAGGATGGTTTAATAGAGGATTTATGTGAATCTTTAATTATTTCTTTTTCTGAAGAGGAAAACAGCTTGGATATGTATAGTGACTGTGATAAAGATTAATAAGAAGTATACAGTAAGAAATTTTGTTCTTTACCACCAGTATCTATACTACTGCATGAAGCCTTTAGCACAAAAATCAAAGACATGATATAAATATTTATTATACATTAAATTAGAAATTATAAATTAAATTACATGCTATAAATATTTATTATACATTAAATTATAAATACTCAAATACCTATAATAATTACTTATCACTGTAACATTATTATAATTAACAAAAAAAGTTTCCTTTGTGTATTAATACACCTAAATTTTAGCTTAAAGATAAAAAAAAGATAAAATTAACAATTATAAGTGTAATTATTTACTGTCATATAATTATTATAATTACTTACAATAATAATAAATTAAATAACTGAATAATTATATAATTACAATTTTAAATACAACAAAATTTACTTACCATGTTTTATTATAAAATAATGTATATAGAGCAAAACTAGTTTGAAAAACATTTGTATTTTTATGAATATATAAATAAAAAAAAAAATCTGAAAGGTTTCATATTTTAACTACCGAAAAGGGCATATTAAGGTTTACTAATGCTTTCACTAAGCTTGCAGTCTATCCCAATCTGCTGTTACACTCACTCCTACTATTATATTTTTTTAAGCTTTATTATTAAGCATAATTTTTTCACACTTAAAGCCATATACAATTCAGCAGCAAAATAACAAAAATTTTTAAAGTAGCATCAGGACATGTTTAGAATTCCCAATGCAGCATATGTGTTGGGCATACCTTTTTTTTCAGTCTTTTCTCAGTTCATATCATATCGAGTTCAGTTTTCTTACTAAAATGGCTTTGTACTTTTTTTTATATCTTTTTGTTATTAATGTTTTGTGTGTTTATTTATTAAATATCAAGTTCTTGGCTCTTACGCCATATGAAATTCTATTCAACAGCAGAATCACAAAATATTTAAAAGCTGCTTATCTTTAAAACTTCCAATAGACAAACAGTCTCATGCAGTGGAGATAAAAATGTTTTATTCTATGCAGTGTTGCCAATGCTCGTTTTGAAATTCAAAATTTGGATTTCCAGGTACCCATGCTCAGGTGGAGAACAATAAAAATTCCATGGCTCTTAGTACCCTTATTTTTTCATAGTGCAAAAAACATACATACATTCATGCAGATTCTTCATTATTTAATTTCTTTAAATATAATACAGTGTGATAATATTTGGTGGTAACAATTTGAAAAGTGGCACAATGCATTTAAGCGTTTTGACACAAAATGCCATTTTGAGACTAATATCTCATTGGGACTAACATCCTTTTGGAGGTAATAAATGTGCAAAATAAGACACCATGTGATAAAACAGCTAATTATAAATGATGGTCAGCATGAACACAGTGGAAATAAACAGGAAGAATAGAAAAGACCCCTACTACATGATTCATGTATAACGCACCTTATTTTGGGGAAAAAAAAGTCTGAATGGTGGCATGTATGTTTGCATCTATGCTTGCAGTTGATGCAGTCGAACTACAGCAGCAGTAGCAATACTGAGAAGCTACCACTTGAGCAGTTAAAAGCACAGAAATTCTCGCTATTGAGGTCCTTCATTGGGATGATAATAAAATCTAATTTCTAAATCAACAGGGCAAGCTTTTAAACAAAACATTAAAAAAAAGAGTTTCTGGAGGAACTAAAAGGAAGCAACACTTAAGACTGGTATACAGAAAAGCTACTAATATGAATTTTACTTGTTTATATTAAAGACATATTTCTAAAAGCAGAAAAAAGTAAATAAATGAATTTTGATATAGCATTGTTACGAAATGTACAGTTTTAGGGTTGCCATATAAACGGCAAGGGAAAGCAGGGTTGCCACATTTGGCGAGAAATCGTCCGTTTAGCAACATTTAGTGACAAAATTGGCAATATACCATGGACGGACGGAGAACCTTCTAGAACGAATTCTTACCGGTTTAGCCCAGAATGTTCTCGAACACAAGCCGAAAGCTATATAAACCCTGCTGGTCTGCAGTCAGTTAGTGTGTGTCTCTCATCGAGAGTGTGCCTTATCGAGAGGGCGAGTGTGTGTGTCTCGTCTAGCGAGTCAGTTCCTGTGGAGTGGATTGAGTTGACAGCCGGGCAGCGAGTGCCGAGTGGGTCGTCGAGTGCACCGCAAGAGTCTTGTAGTATATCACGGTGAGTGCATCGTCGAGAGAGCGTGTTGAGCTCTGGGAATGACTGAAATGAAGAGTCGGGAGCGGTGCTCATGTGTCATCGAGTGCATCGCGGGTTGTAGCGTTGAGAGTCTCGAGAGTACGTGAAGTTCCGAGAACAACCGAGCAGAGTTGGGAGCTTTGCAGTGAAGCTTGTCTCCATCGTTATTGCCTGACAGTGTGAAGGCTGTGTCACTGATTGTTCCAGCGTGTTTAGAGTAGATCTTTGATGACTGTAAAATGTGTTATTGGAGCTGTCCTGATTAGTATTGGCTAAATAAAGTATGTTTCGATACTTCATCAAGTGTCGTCGTTATTCACTCCAAATCTACGAACCCCATACGAACGTGAAGGAAGGAAATAACATAACAACTGGTGTCAGAAGAAAGAAAAACGCAACAGTATTAACCACCTCCAGAAGCATGCTAGCATGTCAAACAAACCAAGGCAATATGCAGGTACAATTCATAAAGTTAAAATCAAGGATTACCATCAAAGATTTAGAAAAGTTGAAAACACTAAATGATTAGAGAATACGGGAAAAGATTAATGATTTCTAATAAATTATTTCACATTTTGGATACTCAAACTGAGTCTGGATGAGACAAAGTGAAGCTGAATAATGGATAAAGCCTAAGAAATTAGTTCTCACCATCTTCAGATGGAAAAGAAAGGACACAGAAAACTGCATGAATCAACTAATCATCACAAGAAGAACATGCCACTAATTAGAAAAATATAATACAAAAACGGACTTGATATATCTAAAGACATGAAATATTTCTGTTGAAGTTTGGATCAATACTCATTAAAGGATGTTGATATGGACATGAGAATACTGGCAATGTTAGACAGACAAATGATGTGTCAAAAGCTCAGATCAAAATACTACACACAAAGTTTTTTACAGATAACAATAGTTTCAGATGTCATAAAAGCAAATATCTGCATTAAGAAAGAGAAGCAACTGTTGATTCAAGAAATCTAATTATTTGTTAATTTTGCATTTGAGCTAAATTTAGAACCTACAGAAATGGCAGAATAATGTTATGGTGGGCATCAACCACAAGCTCACTAAAACCATGAAATAATCATAAAACTACACCAAGTGTGCCTATACATTAAGAATAATAACAGTAATTGATATGCTTCAAATGAATCAATAGTAGTCATGATCAATAAACTAGATTTTCCATGTTTGATAACATTCAAGTTGTATGAAAAGTTGAACAGTAAAATAAATGCAATAAAATTTCTCTAAAAATAAAAGGCTCTCACTTTTTCTTAGAAGGTTTTGTAAAATCGATATCCCAAACAAGAAGCTGTTGGCCACCACTGACAATCCTTAATTTATCCTTGGATTGTGTTACTGCCAAACTATAGATATCTTGAACATCACCAGTCAATGTACATATATATAAGAATTCTGGAAGCTTCCAAACTGAAAAATTTCATCCCTTTATTAAATAAGGCTATATATATTTTAAAAAATTACATTAATAGCAATAAACTAAAGTAATTGAAATTTCCCAGAAAAGGAATTGAAAAAATACACTTGCTTACCATTGATTCCTCCCATATCTGAAGATGAATCAAAAAATGTACTAAATAAAACATTCTCTTTAACTATTACAGCTTCACAAATACCATCAAATTCCACTTGATTAAGGTACATTTGCATATGTCCTGCAAAAAAAAAAAAAAAAAAAAAAAAATAATTGTAATTCTATGCAATAATTCTTCAAATTAATAATAATATAGTGCCACTGTATTCAACTCACTTTTTATATCACATTCAAATTTCCAGGAATCAAAACAAATATACACTATTCTATATATATATATTTTCATCGTTGCTGCTTATAAAACTAAGATTGGCAAAAAGCTGATATTTCAGTGCCAGAATATCCTACTTGTACCTAACAAAGCGTTTAGTAGTTCATCCATTTAACAAGTTGTGGACCATGGTTTATCATTCAGGTATGCAGTGCTTCAATAAAATGGGCTTGAATGAAATTTTCCATCCCCTGGTCCCTGTGAGATACTGTTCTCAGAGTCCTTTATCCCCATTAAATTCAAAGGGGCAGAATTTCCTTGAGATTAATATAAAACAATCATCTAGAGCAGGGGTTCTCAACCGGTGGTATGTGTACCACTAGTGGTACGCAAGAGAAAAATAGTTAATATGCAAAGAAGCAAAGTATTCTTTACTACTAAATTCAGAAATTAAAACCCCAAAATCCTTATTGAGTTTGAGCTTTGCTCAAGAGTGGTGGTGGTGGTAGTTGTACTTTGTAGTGGGGGTACCAAAGGCTTTCAAATTTCGTTTAGATGGTACGCATTAGTCAAAAGGTTGAGAACCGCTGCTCTAGAGATGGGTTGACAACCTTGTATCTATGGTGTGCCAAACCAATCTGCCAATATAATTCAGGGTACTGCCCAGTAGGAAATATTTGAAATAATTTGATTTATGCAGCAATGCATGCAGACTTGGGGAATACAGAACAAGAATCCAGATTTAGAGTTTTATTATATATTAATTATGCATCATTTATACATATTTATTAACATAAAAATTAACAACATAAAATATAACTATTCCTTAAACATAGATAAAAAAATTTAAATTGTACATATATTACATATTATGTATCTTTTAAACATATTTATTAAAATAAAAAAATCTGATTTGTGTACCACATGACTTCCTTGTACATAACGTAAAATTATATGCATTTTCTCCTGGATTTCATTTAAACTTATTTCCTTGAATTTCATTAGAGATCTATTTCTCATTCAGTTAATTCAGTTCTCAATTTGTGACAAGGCAAAAACAAATAAAACCTCATAAAAATTTTTTTTTTAATTAAAAAAGTAGAAAAACAGAAAACAAAAACACAGTTAAAGCAATTTAAAGAACAACTTTTATAATTAAAATTAGAGTTTCTATGCAAAAACAAGCAATTGGGCCATCAGGATAGACAGCAGATTTTTCAGTGCACAAAACTGAAAGTTCACTTTTGGTCTCACTAGCTAACAAAACACTGAAGGAGTAAAAACTGACTTAATTTGTTGTGGAAGTCAATATATGGGATAATTTAATAACTTAAATGTTAATTCCAGAATGAATAAAAGAAGATGTTATATTTGTTGTTGCGAAGCTTAGTTTCTCTAGACTGGCAAAAAATCCACTATTCTGCTAAGTTTCAAATGTAAACAAATATGGTTGGTATGGTAAACAAAATTAGGCTTAGCCACACTTAAACAACTTTTAAATTGTTGATAATTGTACAACTATAACATGCAAAATAAGAGCAACATAATTCAAACACTTTTAAAGCAAAAAAATGCACAATTTACAAACATATAAAAATAAAAACACTGAGCTCATGGAAGCAAGTAACAGAGTGGAGGTGCACAATTACATCCTGTAGCAGTACTATATACAAAATTTCAATGTTCTGAGGCTACTTGTTTTTCGGGTTATGCGAGATACGAGCGAACGTATGTACAGACGCGACAAAGAACTCTATTTATAATCCATTTTAAATCAGTTTTATAATTTTTTTTGGGAGAAAGAGTCCTTTATTCTGTCCATACTTACAGATGTCATGCAAAAATATCGTTAAATTGCATTCAATAGCGGTCAAAATGGATGTTTTCTTTGAAATATGGTACCCAGAATTTTTCATGATTACCATACTTCCTTTACTTCGTACAAGGAAGTAAAAATAAATGGCATAAAATATAAGTATTCCTTCAATACAGTTAAATAAAAAATTAAAATTTTAATGCAAACCATGTCCTCGTACTGCTCTATTTAATATCGCAATATCAGGGGTATAATTTGCGACTTTCAATTTGACACATTATTCTGAATGTTCTGTTGTTAAACAAGTTCTTTGTGGACTTAAAATATTTTTCACATGAGAAAAGATTTGTTCACATAGATATGTGAAACCAAAAGCATGAAACCAAAACAGCAATTTTCTTCAAACAATTAAATCTCTCTGGCATTGATATTTAGCAATTTAAAATTGCAATCAATTTATAGTTAAGAGTTATCTTCCAGACTTTTTTGTAATTCCATAAATTTTGCTTTCCAAAATTCTGAAGATGTTAGTTCAATAAGTTCCATTTCGAAATTATCAAGTTCCACACATTTAAAAATTGACAAATCTGATGGGATTATTAACAGGTCTATTAAATATGGTTTAATTAGGAAGGAAAATACAGGCATACAAGCTGTTAAGCCTTTGCAGCTTTTGGAAAATTCCTCCTAAGTGCCTCAACTTAGGTTTGAGTTCATTTTTGTCTAACGTGATGTATTTACAAATGCTTTACATTTGGGAAGTATTTATAGGTATAAGTATTCATGTCATGGGAAAATATATTTAATTTTGTAGCAAAGCCTTTCCAATATTCGAAAAGTGCAAGCACTATTTGGCCTTTTTCTTGCAATCCTCAGTTCATTCAAATGTTTGGTTACATCAGAGATATATTTAGTTATATCAGACAGACAGAAATATCAATTTGCATACCCATCCTTTATCATTCAATCCAGGAAAAAATTAATTCTTCTCATTAAGAAAAACTGCAGATGTATCAAGGAAGCACAAAGACAGAAAATGGAGACACTGAAAATGCTTTTCTAGAATGTTTTCAAGATATAAACCGAAAAAGTGTTTTTATTTGCACAGCCTTTATTTTATTTTTTTCCCCCATGAATTAGCTAAATACTACGGGAGAATTTTGTATCAACTGACAGATGGCTCACAGTTTGGAGAAATCAAGTATGTTCAACAGAAAATGTATGGTAAAAAGGAAGAGGCTGATCATCACGCAATTGATAACTGAATAAAAGACATTTTATTTACTTATGTTTACTTATGGTAAGTGAATACAAGCCACACAAAATTTATAATGCAGATGAAACTGAACTGCAACTGAACTGAAACTGAAACAGAACACTACCAGAACATACATTAATATTTAAAAGTGAAACAGCAGCTGGTTTAAGAAACTGAAAGAGTTACTGTATTATTAATATGCAATATACAGCAAACTGAAAAATGAAATTACTAATTACATAATGGTGTAGCACACAAATCTTTAATCTCTTTCTGGAAAAGATAAGTGCTTCTTCCTGCAAATACAACTTCTAACATTCAGCCTTTTAAATTAGGTAATATAAAAGCTTTCAAATGCCATTACAGAAAAGATGCTCAGAAAACTTAGAGTTGAATTTTGTGAAAATGCACTTCGAAGAAGATAGGTAAGTTAATATTGCTACTAAAGGCCATGCATATTGTAGTCAATTCAGGGGATTAATCTTTTAAAATCAGTTAAAAACTGTTTTTAGCTTTTATGTAAAAAATCCTTAGAGAAATTACAAGCTATAGCTAATGTCTGAGACATCATTGAGGGAAGTTGTGAATTTTTATAACATGCATCAATTCATAAAATATGCATAAAAACTGACAATGAAAGTGTTAAAAGATCTGAAGAAACTGCCAGCGAAATATAGAAAAAAGTGATGATATGCCAGAATCAATCGAATCTACTGCATTATCTGAAATGCCATGATTCATTTTTTTAATGTTCTTCAAAAGTCCTTTACTTATTAAAAAGAATGATCAGTCAACAATATACTGCTCGTCTTGCTCAATAACTTTTTGCTTTCTTTTAAAGTGCTTCGTAATTACTCATTCACAAAAGAACCTAGCTTTATCAGTGAAAAGTTGAATATGATGCTGATTTACAGCTTCATCTGAATCAAATGTTATACCACAAAAGAAATTTTGAAGAGAGAGAAACAAGTGGAAGTTGAAAAACAGAGTTGTTGATCAGGTGAGTATGATACGCGTGGCAACACTTTTCATCTAAACTCCAATAATTTTTATCAATGATCAAACTTGTGTAAGTCTTGTTTCCAAGCTCCTACCAACAAAATCAGTTTAAATGTGTGCTGTCATCAACAGGAAAGTGTGAACAAGCCCATCTTCTAGAATTCATTAATGGTAAAGAAACTGCATTCCACCCCAAAACGGGAGACCTCTCACAAGTTTGATCACCTGACAAAAATTAATGCAGTTTGGATGAAAAGAATTAATTCAGACGAGGCCATAAATCAGCACCTTATTCAACTTTTTGCCGATAATGATAGTTTCTTTTGTGAATGAGTAATTATGAAGCACATTAAAAGAAAGCAAAAAGTTACCAAACAAAATGGACAATATACTACTGACTGATCATTGTTCTTTATATAAATAAGGATCTTTTAAGAACATAAAATAAAATGCATCACAGGTTTTCAGACAACAAAATAGAAAAGCATTACAGATACAAAGAAAACCTCTTGAACTGACAGGTCCTGATCAAAAAAACTACCAGCAGTTTTACAAAATTGCAAATACAATAACAAAAACTGTTGTTGAACAATATGGAACACATGCAGATAGAACAGTTATTTGTAAGCGAGAAAATTTCATCAAGAATGTAATTGTAAAAATTAATTTATAAAAAATAGAAAATGAATTTAAAAATTGCATAAATAGTGTTGCGTGCGTATGAAATGAATTATGAAATGAATGCACAAGTCCGATGAAAAATGAACAAAAATTTATTATTATCACAACAAAAATGCTTAAATTTTCTCAAATTATCATGCAGTATTACAATATCTC